GATTGTGATCACAGATTTACCCTCGCAGCACTCTCTCTTCTGACTCGCGACGCCCGACCGCGTGACTCGCCCTGCGCCTGCTCTGTGGCGCACATGTAGCAGGGGTGAGATAACCGACAGAGTCCTCCTCCCTCAAGTCTTTGGCCCTGCAGGTGTGTGTGGTCCACCTTATTGTGCAAAGTACAGTAAGTACATCGTATCGTGCACCGGCATGACACTCACTCCATGCACCGACTTGTAATTACAACTTTCGTACTCTGATTCCAATCAAGAGAGGCACGTTGCCAGTCTTGAAGCACTGGCGCAGATCTTGGGGCGATACCTTGCCGAACAGCATGCAACAGAGGTTGAACGGCGTAGCCTATAGCACATCATATGCTCATCTGGACCCTGGCCTTGACCAACTTTGGCTCGGACTCATGCATAGATTGCTGGGATGCCATACCGTAGCGTACGCGGTATGCATTCACATTGGCTGCAGGGTAGAATAGAAGTGTGACTGACAATCCGCGAGCACCTGGGCGGTCGACATGCCAGGCTCGATGCTGAGAGCTGTGTACTACTGTATGTATGGCTTTGCTCGTGCTTCACCCGCTCGAGGAATGCTGTGGTCGCATTCACGATTCCTGCTTCAACATGGTGATGGCGCTGCTGCATGGCGAGCATCATCAACGGATCGAGGCAAGTCCCGAGGTCAGGTCGCAATCTCACAGCCCTCGGGGAGCGCTGCGAAGGCGTCGATGGAGGAATACTCTAAAAACTTGTATATCTCTTTAAACACGAATCGAGTGTAAGCCAGACACTCCGACGGTCCATGGGGGCGATATGCGCTAGCTACACCGCTACACTCATGAGAGCCTCAGGGACGTGCACGAACAGAGCTGGAGCGCAGCTGAGCCGTGTGTTGCCTAGCTGTTGAGCATCCCCAAGCTTTGCCGATGAGCACGGCATGTCATGCCTGACCTGTGTATTGCGATTTTGACTGTACTTGTGGTCTGCCGTTAAGCACATGGCAATCTCTCTTGACGCTGCGCCCAAAAGCTTCCGGTGCTCTGTTTGCGACTGACGCAGTGCAGGCGTACGTGTGACACTTGACCGGCCGCATGACCTCCTTCCTGCCCAATCAAGATCGAGGAGCACAGACCAACTCGCCAGATCGTGAGAGGGTCCCCCCCTCAGGCGAGGCTACATGTATATAAAGCCTAGAGATAAAGCACTTCATGCTTGCCCTACAGCCATATCGTCTCTCGAGACTCTCTAGCACACGCATACAACACTCTACCTAGACGCCCCACTCTCTGTCATCACCATGGGTCTCAAGACTGACAAGGTCTCTTTTCTCCTGTGAGTCGCATGAGCTTCTCGCACTTCGCGTCCCAGAAGCTTAAGCTACTCCTTTGCGTGATATTCTGGTGATCAGCAACTGGAAGGCAACGCCTTATCACATCGCCGTGTTTCTCGCGCAAAAGCAGGGACTCTTCCAGAAAGAGGGCATCGAGGTTGCCATCGTGAGCATCTTCCCCCTCGCTACCTGATGATCGAGAGCCCTTCCTGATCCTGTTTCGGCACCGGCTATTCTTGCAGCTCGAGCCTAATGACCCCAGCGATGTTACCGAGTGAGTCAATCACGCCTGCACGTTCAACTTGAGGTCTTGAACTGACTCGCTCGATGCATTGACCCCTACAGTATGATTGGATCCGGCAACGTTGACCTTGGCGCCAAGGCCATGATTCACTCCATCGCTGCCAAGGCAAAGGGTTACGATGTCACCGCCATCGGTCAGTGCTCATTCGAGCAGGGACAAGGGCGCATTGGTGCATTGCTGACGGCGCTCGCGCAATGGTCTTGTTTATGCAGGCTCACTGATGCAGGAGCCTTTCACTGGTGTCATTTACCTCAAGGGCTCTGGTATCGATGGTACCTTCCAAAGCTTGAAGGGCAAGCGCGTCGGCTACGTCGTGAGTGCAGGAGGACCTCACGATGGGACTAGCAGATCGCACGCTGACGTTTTCTCTCAATCTGACTTGCGCAGGGTCACTTCGGCAAGATCCAGCTCGACGAGTTGACTGGCCACTTTGGCAGTGAGTGGAGAGAGGGGTGATATGTGCCGACCGTGCGCATGTGCTGAAGCCCTCGCCCATTGGTATCGCTTGTTCACAGTGTCCCCGGACGACTACACGGCGGTTCGCACTGGTATGCACATGGTTGACGCCATCAAGCGTGGTGAAATCGATGCCGGTGAGTGGAGACAATCGGAGAAATGACGACGACGTATCTTTGCGTCCTTGATTGCTGACGAGATGCGCACGTTGTGGTCAGGTATCGGCATCGAGAGCGTGAACCAGGTCGAGCTGGAGGAGTGGCTGAAGGAGCAGGGCAGAGACCCGACTGACGTTCAGATGATGCGCATCGACACTTTGGCCGAGCTTGGGTGCTGCTGCTTCTGCTCCATCCTCATCCTCGCCAATGACGAGTTCCTAGCGCGCGCTCCGGAGAAGGCCAGAGCGTTTTTGCGGGCCGTCAAGGGTGCAAGCGACCAATTGTTCGCCAACCCTCAAAAGGCTTGGGAAGAGTACAAGAGGTTCAAGCCAGAGATGAACACTGCTCTGAACGAGAGAATCTTTGAGCGATGCTTCGTCTACATGTCTACCGACGCTGCCAATGTGCCGCGTGACTGGACCAAGGTCACCAATTACTCCAAGAGACTCGGCATTGTTCCCCAGGACTTTAAGCCAAACTACACCAACGACTTCCTCAGCTGGACCCCTGACGACCCTCAGGATGAGAGAGCCGAGGAGAAGCAGCTGGAGATTGCCCAGATTCAAAAGGACGTCGCAGCTGGCAAACGCTCGGCTCTCAAGAATGGCGTTCCTCTCCCCGTCGTTCAGCTCGCTGCCGCCTCTTGAGCAGGTCCACGCGACTACTGTACTCCCTGCACCTATGATGCCAGTCGAAAAAGAATGAAATAGTTGAAATGCGCTTTCGCTCGCGAGTACTGACCATGCATACATGCATCAAGATTCGACAGGTGCCCGCGCCTCCCAGTCGGTCGTTGGCTTTGCAGAAACGTCTGCTAGCGAGCGACAACGCCGACGCGGGTCGCGCGGTGAGGTCCATCCATCCACTTTCCAGTAGTGTGAGTGGGATTGACTATCTATCGATTCGTATTTGATTGAAGAAGAGCAGAGGACCTAGCTATGGGTTGCTTGAAGGGTTGGAAGGGGGTGTGCGTGTGCGTGTGCTTGTGAGGTTTGGGAGCACACATACTTTTGGAGGATGAGGGAACGGATGTTGGTTCAAGGCTCAGGTTGAACGCTTTTGGCTGCTGCACGGGGGTCGTGTGGCTTGGCTTCTCCGCGGTGGCCGCGG